TAATTTGCAGGATTTATGGCTTTGGCGGTGCGTCTTCACATATTGATTCGCAGATGAGTGAGGAACGAAATCTCCCCCAAAAATACACTGACGGAAGCACTAATACCTGATCACATACTAATCCCTTGGCTAACTCCAAACTGAGGTCTGCAAGAAAATCACACTGCGCAGCTTGGACCTGTGCCTGATAACCTGCTTCCTGCTGCGAGTGAATCTGGCCCCTTTCCACCCACAGAAACGTACAGAAGTTCCCTCCTGAGTGGGGGTGTCTGGTACAGCTGGGCAGAAACCACCAAGTCCAGACCCAGCTAGACGCCAGCTTTCTTCTGACGGCGGAGGATGTTTGAATCTGGCGTTTTAAGAAGACCAGACCCTGGGGTGTAATTCAGGGAGCGGCTCTGAACTTTGCAAAATCGGAGGCTCCCCCCCAGCTCCTGCCCAGACTTCTATTTAGTATCACACCTCCGTTTTACATAACCTGCCTGCTGGCAGGTGGGACGGGAACCGAGAATAAACATATCAGAGCGGATCTGACACAGTCACTGAAATAGAGGCCCCACTTTTTGACCCTCCAGTTGCCTGCTACTTTGCATGGCACCGCACCGCCGACAGAGCCTGCTTCTGATCTTTGCAAAGGACGTCTCCCTCCCCAGAACAATGCCAAAAAGTTAAGCAGCTGTGACACGCGCAGAGATCCGATCTCAGGAGCATCTCATTCTTTTTCTTCATCCTTTCTGTCATGCCCCTTCTGCCTCCCCAGGCCCTTTCATTGCCTCCCAGCAGAGACAGCCTATGCCACACTCACTGAAAATCATGAGGAACATGAAACACGGGAGATGATAAAACACCTGAGGAATGAGCCACAAAGAAGGCACCCAGTAATCCCATGCAAACAGCATTCGGTTGAGTTTTGGTTTTTTTTTTTTTTTTGAGGGGGTGGGGGTTCAAAAGCATCTAGAAGGAAAATGAGGCCAAAGCAAATCAAACATGCCTTCGGTTGGTATTCACTTTAACCGGGCCTGGGACTTAAGTGTTTGCAATGAATTAAAAAGGGTGATAGGGCTACTGAGTGTTAGCTGCCTCGGGAGGTAACTTCGATCCTGGCTCTTCTAGGACATGTTTATGTTGCAGAGTTGCTTTCCCTCAGGTTAAGATTCTCCTCTCAGCAGCTCTGAGGCTGCAGGATAAGTAAAACAAATGAGGCACCAGCTCTGGGAACTAACGAAACAATCTGGGACACGTTGAGGGGAAGGTGCTCTGCATTCCAGTTACATGCTAATAAAGAGCCACCGGGGGTTACCAGACCTGCTTATCAATTAGGAAATAAGGTTTTCATACCAGGCATCCGTAGACTCAGATACAACGATGACAGGCACAGTGTGGGACCCGAGAAAGAGAGACACCAACTAGCCCTTCCTCCCAAATGCCTCCAGGCAGGTAGCCGTACTCCACTTACCCAGGGACTCCGCTCCACTGCTGTCCTTTGGGCTGCTCATGCAGTTCTCCAGGTAAATCCCATCCTTATAGCAATCTTCCTTCTTCTTCGTGAGCCCCAGGATCTCACTGGCCTGATCTAGGACCTCACCTCCTGAGCAAGAACATGGAGTCTGCATAATGCCACATGGGTGGGAGCTGCTGCTGATGGCCAGGCACGCTTCCAGCCACTTGCAGAGCATCTGGCAAGCGGCTTTGCTAGGGTTCCTGTTGCCCACCACGAGGTACTCCACTGAGAAGTCCCTCTCCTGAGCCTTCGTGGGCTTCCATCGCACAGGCCCGCTCTCCACCCCTGGCAGCGTGGTCTGTTTCATCTGGAGGAACTGCTTGTTGGACTGGAGGAAGGCATACCGGGTGGACCCGTCACAGAGCTTCAACACGTCGTCAAAGCTCTCCATGCCCAGGTAGGTGCGGGTGGACTCCAGGAAGGAGTCGAACTGGTAGGTGCGGATGTGCTGGTGGTCACATACGCTGGTAGGTTTCAGGATCTTCATGTACAAGGTGTACCTCCGAGGGTCAGGGTTCTGGATAATCCAAGAGCAGAGAGAGGAGTTCAATGGGAAGACAGCGAAGGAGGAGAAATACCCAAAGAATTTCCCCTGGACCAAAGTGGTGCAGGGAGCTTGTGCCAGGTCCAGAGCGACCACGGTCCACACAAAGTAGAGTGGCGATACCAAAAGCAGGTTCAGGGCAGATCCAATGCTCCTCATCCTAGGTCTCTGGTCCTCTGGAACTCAAAGTAAATGTCAAGCAGGTGCCAGATCCTGGACATAACAGGGATCAGCTTAGCGGAAAAGTGAGAGTTTAAGAGGCTCTGGATCTGAAATCAAGCCAATCCTCCCATGTTTGGATTTGAGCTCCCTCCTGTGGCCATAAACAACACCTGGAAAAAAGGAAGGGAGTAAGGAGGGGAGAGAAAGAGAAGAGATTTGAGTTTTGGGGGTTTTTGTTGTTTTTTGGGGTTTTTTTTAGATTAACCCTTCTCAAGGTAGAGAACCAGGACAGCACCCCCTGCCCCAGCTCCTCCCCCCAGCGGAGGAGGCAGCCCCACATTGCCCTCCCTATGCTAGGTTTGGGGGCGTCCCCGTCCCCAGGCTGTTCCAGCTCCGTGTGTTTACATGCCGGGAGGGTCCTCGCTGCCCCCAGGAGCAGGGGACAGCACAACTGTGCCCCCCCCTCACTGGTGCCCTCTGCCAGCAAGCAGAGTGCCCCTCTGCTTAGCCGGGCAGAGACTTTGCAGTGATTTCCAACCCTCTCCCCAAAGATAACCCCATCGATTTCTGTTTTAGGGAGAATCCCTCCTCTCCCCCCACCATCCTTACTGACCCGGGATGCTGGTTCAACACAGGTGACGTTGCTCCAGGCTGCACTTGGGGAAGGCTGGGCTGGAGGCAGCCGTGGGCAGCTGAGCTCTGCCTCCTCTCTTTCTCCTGCCAGCCTGTTTTTGCTCTTTTCTCTCTCTCTCTCTCTTTTGCTCTCCTCCCTCCTTTTTTTTCCACCAAACCAGCACAGGGGAACGGATTTGTTGCACTGAGCCTCTAACCCTGGGCCAGCTCTTGAGCCCAAATAGGGAAGGCAGGGCAGGAGGGAGCCTTGCAAATGGCACAGGGGAAAAAACGGGGAAGGAAAGGTACTGCTTTGTGTCTTCCTACATGAGGAGCATTACTCTGCCTTGCACCCCCGCATGCAGGACACCCCAAAGCCCGCAGTGCTGCTTTGGGCTCTTTGGCAGAGGTACCAGGCAGCAGCTCTGCAGGGTCAGCATGCTCCCAACCACCCCCAAGACCATCTTCAGTCCCCCAAGCCTCTTGCACAGAAGTGACAGTCCTACTGTGCTGCCCTCTGTGAGCCCCTCTTTGCGGGGCTCTCCTGCAGGGGCAGCCAGCCACCCTCCTCCCTCTAGTTCAAAATTTTGTCTCTACATCCCCCCTTTCCTGCAAAAAGCTTTTTCTGGGGAGGAAAGAGTTAGGAAATTAAAAAGTCAGATCCATTATTTGCAAATGGGGTTTCAGTAGAGCTTCAAATCACTGCGGTCTTTGCTAGCGCATTCCTAAGTGTCTGTTAGACCTGACACTAATCAGCATGGAGTCTAAATGCGTTTGCACTTAAATTTTTTAGAAGTCCGATCCCCAGCCCTGACACTGGTTTGCAGCCTGCAAAACTCCGCAGTGCAAATTGCACCATGCCAGATTCCTGGATGTCTTGAGGACTGGATTTCAGGAGAGTCGCCTGCTTAGCAGATGCAAAACAGTGCTTAGTCGCAACGAAAATCACAGGCATCCCATACATTTCCAGAGATGTCATCTTGATTAGCAGTAAGGGTTGCCTCAAAACGACTGTAAATGCTTTAAATATCAGCTCAGAGACTGAAAGATCGCTAGTTAATTGGGTTTCGGAAAGGGAGAGGAAAGGAGGGGACAGTCAGTTCCCCTCTTTCACTTTTGGGCAGTCCCTGGGAAGCAGCTCGTTCTGTCTGCAAGTGGGCACAGCGTTTGCGAAGCCAATATCTACCCAACCTTCACAATGATGAATCAGCCAGGATAATCTTAACCTCTGGTCCAGTCTGCGAAGAAACATCCCTCTCCCCCTTGGAAGCAAGAGCCAGCCACGGCGCCATAGCAACGAGATGATTAGGAGACAGGGTTGCGACGGGCTGTGCTGAGATCCGGTACCTAATGGTGACTTCAGCGCGTGCGATTACAGCCCAAGTCTCCTGTCCTCTGCGAACCTGATTTTCTCACGCCGGGCACAACCCTGCTGCTGAATAAGGAGGCAGCAGGCATGAAATGCATTTCCCCCTACCACCACCCCTCTCCGAGAAAAGCACCGTAAAAGCCAGCAAACTTTAACTAAACAGACCTGTTAATGGGACGCTGTGTTACGGTTGTTAGAGCTCAGAATTGATTTCCCCTGAATGCAGTCCCATCTGGAAGGTTTTACCATAAGGAACATAAACATATTTTTTCTCCTTCAACTAATCCTTGCTGAAGTAGGAATCTTTTTTTTTTTTCATTTTTTTTTTAAGTAACTAGACAAACACCCCTCAACACCTGCATCTTTGGCTCAACACGCGTCAGACCCAGTGGTGAAGGAAGACATGATGGGCAGCTGCTTTTCTGCAAAGCGGCAGCTCCTCTATGCTTTAATCTAGCAGAATTCTAAGATGAGGACATACGCAAGAGATAGATTGCAAACTGCAGGTCGGGAGGTGATGTTTGAATGCATGGGAATTCCTCAGTGCTGGGCACCATATCTATGTGCACACAGGCTAATTTGCCCAAGTCTCCAGGGCAGTAGCCACATCAAGAGTCTAGGTAGCCTGGCCGTGCTGAGGAGACAACCCTGCCTGATCCTATCCCTTGACTCCAGTTTGAAGAACACATTACCTTTCCTGCCTTTCTCTTCCAACCCCACGCCTGGGAGACTGTTCCAGCAGAGAAGCCTTTCTGGGTCCAAAAGTATCTTTGAGCCTTTCTGGCCCAAAAGTATCCTCCCTACCTCGGTTTAATTATGCAGATGTTAGAGAAGATGAAGCAGAGGGTTATGAAGAGCTGTGAACAGCCTGCCTGGCCTGCATTTTTCACCTCCTTTTGTTGAGCATTTGTCACATTGCAGCACTTCTCAGGCCACTGGAAACCCGCTGTGGTGGGCATGGTTCAGAAACACAGCACAAAACAGGTCTTCCCAGTGTAGATAAACCCAGGCAGGAACTAAGTCACACAGTGCAGTTGGGGCCTGGACTACCAAAGGTGTGTAAGCACTTCTTTTACACTGGTTCCAGTGAATTTTGGAGCCTCAAAGCCTTGGAGAGCTGAGTTGGAGCCCTAAATTCACCTGCAGTAATGCTGAGCTCTGACCTAAGACCTAAGACCGTATGGGCGCGAGGCCAGACAGTAGGGATACCTCATGTCCCTACTTGCTTTCTGCATGGGAGTGTTACCATGTGCCCCAAGCATGCCCCACATCCATCTCAGGGATCCCGACTGCATTTCATGCTTGGCAGGTCTGTGCTTTGCAGTGTCCATCCACCTCGGGCCAGAGGGACCTCCTTAGTCGTGCTGGTGACATGAGACTCTGGATGCAGCAGGCTGGATCTGGCCGAGGGAGGGCACTCTTTCACGTGCGCATGGGTGAACAAACACACACACCCTCATCAAAAAAAATTGCAAAAAAGGCATCCTTCCGCACTGCTTTCTGTAAGACCTCTCCAAACACCCTTGCCTTGATCTGCCCCCATTAGCTCAGATGTGTCCAGCTCCATTTTCCCTGCTCACTGGCTCAGGCATGCTGTCTTCCAGGCTATACTTCCCTCTGGTTTTCCTTCTCCTGCTGTTGGTACACAGCAGACGTCCTAGCAGGGTGAAAACAACTCTGATCAAGCTAACCCTCCTTTCCTGGTGTTTCCCATTTCCCTGTAACAAATCCCCGGATATCAAACAAAATATCCCTTCCGACAGAGGCCAAAAACTGCACGGCCCTGAAAAGCTCAGTCTCTTGTCACTCTGACAAAACGTGGGAAGGAATATGCTCCGTCCTTATTCACAAGAAACTGCTAGCAGAAAAAGATGGAGCTGCCTGAAAATTTTCTTCTTGCTCCTGAAGCAAGTGAGCAAAGAGCTCTAGAAACGCCTGGAGAAACAACGCAGCATCTGTCACCGGACAGCACGTGGGCACCTCGAGAAGGGCTGATATTTGGCTGCAGTGGGCTACGCCAGGTTGTGAGGCTGGGAATTAGCCTTCCTGGCACCGAGACAGGGACGGGGCTTGGACCCATCCTGGAGCAGTGCCTCTTCCATCAAAACAGTGATTCAGTTTTTATCTACTTTTAAATTATTTTTAGTTTTTAATGATCTGCCCGTTTTCCTTCTCTTCTGTCTTCCATCAGGATTTCCTTCTGGAGAAGATGGCTTCACTCTGGCCTTTCCCAGCAACAGTTATCTATAAAGATTTGGGCTGCTTATTTTCTGGCAAATCAGAATCTGGCGGAAATTAGGATCCAAGAGAACAAGAGGACAGGGTGACGGGTATTACATGGCTGGGAAATTCTTTAGGGCTCTGTCTGACTTAAGCGCACGTGCACCCTCCAGAGAGGCTTCTCAGCACAATGGGCCACATTGCTAGAAGGATGCTAAGCCAGCACAACTCGCCTGACTTCAGCAGTCCTATCCCAGCTCACCCGAGCAAGATCTGACCCAGCAGTGGTCAGAGCTGTGCATATTCCCTGACTACACAGGCACTGCACAAGCCTTTGGGCCAAAATCCTGAGAACTGGACTCAGAGAAAGCCACAGTAGAAAGCAAAGGGAAGCAGACACGAGTTAGAGACACAAGAGTCCAGGACCATTCCCATCCTGCTGTTTCACTGTCCAAAAACATGTCTCTGCATGTACCCTCGCGGCCCAGCACGTTTGTTCTGGCACTATAGAGACTGATGTACTGCCCATGGCCTCTATCCAACTCAGTTTCCCGAGTGCCGAGAAAGCCTGATTCTCACCTGTCTGCTGCGCTAATAAAAGATATCTTTACACACTAGCATCTTTCATCTCAAAAGATTTTCTAATCCTACCTGGAAAGTCACACACTTTGAGGGTGGCTTCCAGCAGTGGTGTAACAGCCTGCAGGAACAGCACAAAAAAGACGGAGAATATTTGGTCCCATGGGACCAATAGCACACAAGGCTGTGGGCCAGTTACCCAGCCCCTACCTGCATTCATTCCCCACGGATGAACCCAGACAGCTACAGAGCATCGTGGCAGGAGGGTTGTTTTGCAACGTTGAGTGATATGTATAGGATCAGAGAGCATCCAGTGGAGTAGCCCTGGAGAAAACCAACGTTTGGATGGGGAAGTGCTTGTGGCAGCATGGGAGGGTGGTGGGACATTCC